CCCTAAACCCAGAGACCCGAAGAAGTTCCGGCCTGGCAATCCCTCCACGAAGATTGCCCCACGCTTGGCGAGGATCCTCGTAGGGTTTAGGGTTCAGGGTCTAGGGTTTAGGGTTTAGGGTTTAGGCTTTTGGGGGTGTATAGGGCTGGGATAGAGGCAAGAATGAATGCTTAGAATTACCAGGCTTCCTTTTGAGGGCTTCTTTCAAGGGTTCTAGAAGGGTTAAACGTGCCGGTTCTCTGATGTAGAAGCGTTAATTATCAGAGTGGAGCTTGGGGGGGTTTATAATACCCCGTATAAGTGTTTAGGGCTTCGGGTTTAGGGCTTAGGGATCCATTTTGGTAATAATTCAGTCCCGCTGTACACAACTATCCGGGGGCTACAACCGCTGAGACTACATACAGTTACAGCACGGCTCTTGTTTAAATTTCGGACAACCCCCTAAACTCTATACCCTGAACCCCCAATGCAAACCCGATCCCTTCGATTGTAAGGGACCCTTTGGATTCAGAACCTTGGGTTAAAGATTTAAGGAACCCAAACCCTATAAGCCTTAATCCGTAAACCCTAAACCCCTTGTGTTATTGACTTCACAAAAACGACTCAAAGTTCGGTTGTCCGGTAAGCAAGTGACCCAACACACAAGAGACGTTTTGGCGGTCGGTTGGGGTACTTACTATGACAATCCTGGGACGCTCGATTCCCGAACTCTGCTCTGAAGCCCTCTGATCCCAACACATCAACGCGTTTGGAGGGTGTGGGGTTTAGGGGTTTAGGGGTGTAGGGGTTTCGGGGTTTAGGGGTTTAGGGGTTTAGGGGTTTAGGGGTTTAGGGGTTTAGGGTTTAGGGTTTAGGGTTTAGGGGCCGTCCGAAGAGTAAGCCTGTAGCTTATGCGAAGTTGAAACAAGCTTGGCAGGCGCCTCAGGTTCCATGGTTCTGATGTAGGGGCCTTAATAATTGGAAAAAGGTTTTGGGCTCCTTTCTAGTATGTCTATCAAAAGGAACCCTAACAATAATATTGGTAATTATTTAGGCTTCCATACTAGTCTTTGAGGATAAACCAATGGCTATGCAAGCTAAGTCACCCTGTGTACACTCTACAGACAGAGCTGCTGATGCAGCACCTATCTCCAAAACCAAAAACACAAGTGTCTAGACCATGGCCTAGAGAGACCTGGGTCCTACACCCTAAACCCTAAACCGTGTGAAGCTGCACAGCTGACCCACGCAGCTGATAATCTATGATATACTATAACGTGCTATATAATGTACTATCCTGTACTATAACATGCATAAACATAATATAAGGCCTAAACCCTAAACCCTAAACCCCAGACCCTGAGCCCTGAACCCCGAACCCACATGCTATAGGGGCCGAAGGGCTGTGGCACCGTGGTGGTCCGGAACAGGCCCTCGGCTCTTACATCGTCGAAGGACTCGGGCCGACGAAGACGTGCCATGTCAGACGCTTCAAAAAGGCAGTCTGCCGACGTTAAAAACACCCTAAGGTTTAGGGTTTAGGGTTTGCTGACCTACCTAAGGTTTAGGAGTTTAGGGTTGAGGGCTGGCTGACCTTAAAAACACCCTAAGGTTGTCAGGATGAAGATGTACATGAAAGCGTCGGGGCCCCAAATACTCACTGTTTTTGAAGACATCACTTTCTGGCTCTTTCTCAAAAACGGGCTGCGCGGTGTATGTTGTTGAGCAGAGGAAATGGGGTTGCAGCAGGGTTTCAAGCTTCCATGAAGGCAGGCTGCATCCAAGGTGACATTGTTTGGCTGACGGGGTTGGCTTCGGATCGAGTTGAATACAGAAGTTCAAGTCCTGCTTTCACGTGGCTTGGCCGGAGTCCAGCAGTGCAAACAAGATGGATTCTAGGTTGGGTACTGCCCCCATACAGTAACAGTCATAATGGGGCTGTGATTAAGGGCTTTTTCTATGGTAAATATGGTCAGCTGTTGCTGGGAGGCAATATGACTCGAGGCGTCAATCTGGTAAGAATTCACAACAACGTTGACTTTCTACTCAGTTCCAGCAGTGACACTAACGGAAGATCAATGCAGAAGAAGCAAGTGACGCCCCTCAACCCCAAACGAGTTCAGACTGGACCATTGCACAGCAAACTATAGTATACCATAGCACGACGCTGATAACATACAAATTATATACTTACTATGCTATAGTCATACTCTAACCTATCATATAATGCTATAATGCTCTAGAACATACTGTAAAATACTATAGCTACGAGCCTCACAATACTCTGGTGTCGAAAAAGTCTACGAACAATACCGATGTTGGGACTCCAGAACCTCAATAAATAGTACATTTTTAGGGGTCTAAACATCTATAAATCGTAACTACATTGTGCTGTTTGGAGTCTATTAAGGTAAAGTAGTAACACCAGAGCTTTCTCGGCCCATGCTTTCTTGCATGCCAAAGCCTCACGCAGCTCGGGAGGAAGCAGACGTGTGCTCCAACCTACAGTTTCCCTGAACCCCAGGGTTCACGGCTTTAGCGCATTTTGTTATGATTTCTTATATATGTCCTTAACAATGTAGGCTATTTGGGCTTTAAGTGTTACGAGATGCAGCATGTGCCCAGTGTCGTCAAAAGTTTTGGTCACTCAACTTATCGTTCGGGAGTCCTGAGGGAGCAATCCACATAACCCCAAAGTGAAACTACGGTTGAGGGTATGGGTCATGGCCTCCACAAATCCGGAACGTCAACCGATGCTGCGGTGAGACGTCGCTAAGCCGCTTCAACTTGAGGTGCGGGGGAAAATTGTTGTCGAAGAGTTGTCCTGCGAAACCCAGCCTTGTGCAGCTTTCCTGCCTTTGGCAAGATCGCTGAGGCGAAGGCCGTAAAGTCTAAATCCTAGCACTGGCACTAGTGCTGAAACCCCGTGCCAATCATAGAAGTGTGCTTCGATGCTGCCTATTGCGCTGGTGATGACGACACAATGTGATAATGGAGGTGATGGCGCTGATGACGACGACCAGGACAATGATTGGGGCTGATAGCTTAAGTTCAGATGCTGATGCTGATGCTGCTGCTGATGGTGACGACGATGACCATGATGGAAACGGTGATGATGATGATGATGATGACGATGAAGAAGGAAAGTGGTGATGATGATGATGATGACGCTCATTCTGATGATGCCACTACTGAAGAGGTCCTTCAGTACGAATCTTCCTCCGGTGTCATGGGGCCATTGCACTTCCCCTATCACAAGGCGGAGGCTAAGAAGAAGGTGGCTTCGCGTGAGCACCAAAACGCGTGAAACTTCGACGCATCTGTGGGTGCTTGCGGTTCATTTTTTGGTCCGTAATTTTGTCCGACAAATACATGATCAGCTTCTTTGTGAACCCAAGCCCCGTATCATGTCCAAAGCTGCTGATTGGGTCAGCAGCTCTAAACCCTGAACCCCAACTCAAAATACGGTTTAGGGGTTTAGGGGTTCGAGCTATTACCGTAAGAACCGCAGGCACTTAGATGCTGAAATCGTCTGCCGCATGCAAGGCCCGGTACGTGGTATCCACCGGCGAGCCTCGAGCGTCTCCTTACAAGGCTGTTTAGGGTTTAGGGTGTAAAAACCTTAAACCCTAAACCCTAAGTGGATTTTAGGGTGAGGTTTGTGCCAGGGTTTCGGGGCTTGAGGTTTTTGGGGCCAAAGACTTATAATGTAGGGGCCTTAATAACTAGAATGGGGTTCCGGGGCCCACTATACTTTTGGGGCCCACTATACTAGAATTATAATAAAGAGCCCCAAAAATAGTATTGGTAATTAAAATTATTTATTTAGGCCCCTATATCAACCTTGTGTTTCGTGCTGGGGTTGGAATCCGGCTGCAACATGGCTAGTTCTCTAAATTGGGTCCCTTTTAGGTACCCAATATAGTACGGCGCCCTTATAAAAAGAACCCTAAAAAAGCCCTAATTTACAGAACTACCCACATGCTGATGTTGATGACTTTGGTGCTTCAGCGGCCCTAATCTAAAACCCTAAAGTCTAAACCGTCGCCCAGAGGCTCAAAATAATCCCAAAGCCGGTTTTGTTGGTATGGTCTCTGGGCTCAAAAACCAAAAAAATATGAGTCCCTAAAGAGCTTGAGCGCCCATCCATTAAGCGCTCAGGGTCTGTTCATATGAGGAGTGCGTTAGATAAAGAGTTCAACTTAGGGTTTATAGGGTTGCTGTCTATTCTAACTTCAACATTCCATGGTACAAACGCCGAAATGGCATCTGAACTAGCATGCTTGAGGACAACATCGCTACAAGCTATGATTCCACATAAAAGTCCGCTGCTTTATTGGAAGCCTTAGGGCAGACGGACTACAAGATACAGGGTAACCCCCTCTGCAGAACAAACACGCCGGGCGACGATCGGTACCGAAGAGGCATCGCAGCTGCATGAGCAGAAATACCAGAATCACAAGAAGAGGTAAGACAGCCACGGATCCTTCTTGGTTGCTTACGGCAAGAAGTCCGAATAGCGGAGCAGCGCACAGGAAGCCATAGCTGACTGTCAAGATGCCACTTAGAGCTGCCAGAAGGAGCTGCAGCAGCTCCGACTGGACGGAAAAGGCGCACTTTAGCATCCGAAGAAAAACCTGAGCCCCAAAACACAATATGATAGTTAGGGTGTACGGCTTGGGGTCCCCTAAACCCTAAACCCGCTTTGGGTCATCTCTGACACATGTGGCAATCTGTGAGATACCCCAAGGCCACACATAAGCCCCACCGGACCCATGTTATTGCTGCGCCGGGACTGGATAGAAGATGGGAACGACCAAAACGATTGTGGAGAGCCAGCTCAACAGTATCGGCAAAAGGTAATTGCCAAAGGATGAGTATCCCATGTTGGACATGCATGTAGCATCGCATTGGAGAATGTCGGTCGCGGAGTAAAAGATCATGGGCAGAGACGCTACCAGACACATGTTGTAGGGCACATGGAGCTGATCTCCCACACTTTCCATGACGGCAGTCCGAAGTGGGCCGCGAATGTAGCTGTTAAACGCGTCCAGGGCTTCATCATCAGTCTGAGTATAAGCCACACTGTCCTCTGTTCCGGTGGATGTTGTCGGCAGAACCATAACTTCTCGTTCGCCGAGAACCGACCTAAACAGGTTCTGGACTTGCTGCTCCACGAGGATCCTGTCAGCCTCTACCGTGCACTCTGCAGCTCGGCAGTCAAAGCATGCCATCTGCTCCAGCCTGAACGCCCCTTTGACCCGAAATTGTTTCATCTAATAACTGCTTGGCTATCATTTCAAGCAGTTAAAAGCGAACCGATTCCTAAGAAGCACCCTAATACCTGCTTGGATGATATTTTAACCCACTTTAGTTCAAACCCTAAACCCTCAACTCAAAACTCTACACCCCAAACCATTCAAAGTTGATTCCTAAAAAACACCCTAAACCCTAAAACCTAAACCACAAACCCTAAACCGTTGATTCCTAAAAAAACACCCAGCAGCATCAAGGCGTGGCTCCTTAACTTGGCTCTGCAAGCCATGGTCCACGGGATGGACACCTCAGGGTTTAGGGTTTAGGGTTTAGGGTTCTGGGTTTAAGGTTTTGGGGTTTAGGGTTCTGCCTCGAGGGTGTAGGGTTTAGAGTTTTAGGGTTTAGGGTTTAGGGGTTCGGGCTATTAAAAATCTGAACTTCATGTCCTTGTTGAGTTTAAGTACCCATAGAAAGGTCAAAAAATTACCCAACTATGATAAAGACACTAAACCCTAAACCCTAAACCCATAGAATGCCATAGAAAAGTCAAATATTACCCAACTATATGATAAAGACACGAGGATGCCCAAGGCCGTGCCCAAGAGGACGAAAAAAACGGCGAGGGTGACCAGAGGACCGAAGCCCGACTCGAGCAGTCTCCTCTACAGTAGTTCATGGTTGGGGTCTATAGGGTTTACGGTTTAGGGGTTTAGGGTTTAGGGTTTAGGGATTTGGGGATTTAGGGATTAGGATTTAGGGTTTAGGGGTTTAGTGTTTAGGGTTTAGGGCTTCGGGTTTAGGGTTCAGGACTGGGGGTTTATGGACTAGGGTGCTTATTGAGTTAAGAGCCCCAGGAAAAATGCAAAATGTTACACACCTATGACAAACGCTCCGTGGGAGGATGGCGGAGAACGTCGTCGGCGAGGTGAGGACTTCCTGAGGAATACGATAGTTCAAGATGTTCACCCCTGTGACCACCAGAGTGTCCAGCAAGAGTCCCGACAGGAGCCACGGTGCCCGCCAAAGCGGTAAGAAATGCACCTGGGGAGCCAATTTTCACAGATGGCTTTTTGAAAATGCTGCTTTTGATGGAACGGGCTGAGGCAGGTGATCTGGAATGTTCATTATTGTGCAGGATGTGCTTGTAATTTGTGACAACACAAAAAGCATGTATGTTCTCATGTTCAAACCACAAACCCGGGCGATGTTTCCCGGAAGACTTGCCACCTTGAGTTTTGAGCGTGCGAGATCTGTGCTTAGCTTATGAAGTTGCAGGGTTCTGAAAAGGTGTTTGCAGTGTTCAGGCGGGTTTCATGATGTTAGCGTCTTTGGCGTCCTTCTGCGGCAAAATCAGTTTGGTGATTTCTGGTGGCTGTCGTTCAGACGGTGCTCAAGCCTGAACTTATAAACTTTGGCCCAGTAGCGGCAATGCCTAAACCTATAACCGTGATGTTCATGACTCCTGAACCCCGTACATCCGGAACATTGCAAAAATTCGGATCCAAACCTGAAGCTTTGTTTTTGAGTTTGAATTTGTTGTTTAAACCGAAAAATGAGTCCGAGAGCTTGAGCAGCTTGTCCAGTGACTTTTCGTTTTCGTCTTCGAGCTAACAGCTCGCAGGTAGAGAATCAGAATGTCGCAGAAACGCGGTGATCATGTGCCAGCGTAGCAAGAGGCTGATTGCAAGATTCTGATGGCCACTGGTGGCTGTTCTGCTGATTTCGAAAGAATCTGGTCTACAACACTTTCATTTTGGTGACTTTGTAATCTTGTGAGTCTAGGTGCGCTCCTGGCTCTTTTTCGTAAGTGGCGGAAGCATTGCTTTTTCTTGGTTGACTTCTGAACCCCTCCAAAAAGTTAAACTTTTAGTCTCCTTATTTTAGTTATATAGAAACCCAAAAAGTTAAAGTCCTAAGAGCCAACCAGAAGAACAACAAGCTTTCACAGAGAACCTACGGGGAGCTTCGGGGAGCCGGGCCCCGGAGCCTTGGCCGGTGGGCTCTCGTGTCTCTTAGGGTTTAGGGTTTAGGGTTTAGGGTCTAGGGTTTAGGGTTTAGGGTCTAGGGTTTAGGGCACACAATTTGGGGTGGTGGGTTTCGGGGGCCGGTCTGGGTCAAAGCCGTAGCTTTGCCAAGCAGGCTTCGGGAGCCTTCGGGGAGCTCCCGGAAGCTCCGGGGAGCTTCGGGGAGCCTTCGGGGAGCTTTGGCGGAGCATCAGGAACCAGTGCAGGGAGACGGTTTTGGGTTGTTTCAAAGCGCGCAGGATGGCTCTTGTTTGTGAGACTTTGCGAAACGATTGTCAAGTCTCAATCTTTTGTGGTTCGTGCAGTTACGTGCTTGCTATGCCCTACTTAAATCCTAAACCCCGGATTCCGAAACCTTAAACCCTAAGCGCAAAACCTTAAACCTTAAGAGGATTTTCACAAAGGAAACCCTTCCTCAATTCGTAAGCGGTACCCAAGCCGAAACCCCCTCTGAGCGAATAGTTTTTGAAGGCTTCAATTTTTCTGCGGCATCTTTAAACTTGAAACCTCAAACTTCCTTAAACGACACTTTAAACCCTACAAGTATACTTGAGTCCGGAAGCCTTGCACTCAAAGGTAAGACAGTACACTCAATACACTTAAATCACAAGTCCCTAAATCCTAAACCTCACAATCAAAATACGAAACCTTCTTAAACCTTCAAGCTCGTTGGGAGCCATTCGTGGGCAGATTGAAAAACAAACGCCATATGTGCAGTTGTGAGCAACACGCCCCCAGAGTCTTCGAGCGCCCGGGCAGAACAAGACGTCCAATACAGGGGAGATGATGAACTGCAAATACTGTTCAACACGGTTTTGCTTCACAGTTTTTGCCGGCAACAACATGGGTTTTTTTGCAGAATGCTTTTCCGACAGAGTTCCTTGGCGCCTATGCTGCCCGACAACAGTTTCAAGTCATAATGACAAGGAAATCTCTCTTGCAAGGGGATTGATGCCTATGATAACACATATGTTGGTGTCATGGGTGATTTTTCGACCCTGGAAAGAGCAATGTTCTGTGAAAGTTGGATCCTGTTCAGCATCCCATGTTCACTGCAACACCCTTGAAGTGGCCACATGTTCGATTGGAAGCGTTCTCCCAGAAAAAAAGGGGACATCTTTTCATGTCAGGAAGCTCTTTGGACAACTAGCGGTTGTGATAACCCCCACGTCCCCTGCTCTAGGTCCTTAATATAAACATCCTCATTTCAACACCCTTAGTACAGGAGCGAGCTTTAGCATACTGTAGATCTGCATTATGGTAACTTAGATTAAGCTCCTTAAGGAGATCCGCGTGCACCTTCTGCGCACTGCCGTGCTTCGCGAAGGTGGCCAATTCCAGTTGGCACCACAGACGCTGGAAGTACTCGTCGTCCCACAACCTGTAACGACAGCAGTATGTACACACAGCGTGCATACATGTTATGCATATGTCTATGTCTGTGCAGATTGTTGCATGTACTTATGCATGAAGGTATGTATCTATGTATGTGCGCATGCATGTATGCAAGTCTCTATGTATGCAGGCTCGTCTGTAGGTATGTATGTATGTATGTATGTATGTATGTATGTATGTATGTATGCATGCGCGTGTGTGCGTGTGACTTGGTAGGTTGTTGCTCCGTGTGTGTGTGTGTGTTGTTGGATTGTTTGTGTATGTTTATCTGCATGTGTATATATACATATATACAGGTTTCAGTTTATGTGTGCATGTAAATGCGCATGTATACGTATGTGCAGCTGCATATCATATGTGTGTAAGCATTTGTATTTGTATATGCACACACTAGTACAAGTGCGTGAGTCCACTCATGCCAATGCTTTTGTATCTACTTATGTTATGTATGTATGTGTACGTACGTGTATATGTTTGCATAAGCAAACATGTAAACTTTTGATTGCGATAACACGTATACAAGAGCATATGTGTGTGTATATATATATACATAAACACATGCTATACACGAACTGAAACCGAAGGGTATGACCAATCTACTTCATACATTACATTGGGCTATCGTACGTTAGATTGCAGTGCATTAGTTACACGACAACATGTTACGTTACAATATAGTACACTGCAACACAATACTATGCAGCTCGATCCAACCCATAGGAATGTAATAAGTACAACATAGATGCGCGTGTATCGGGCTTGGTTCTTCCGGGATTTGGGCTTGGGAGTGTAGAAGTGTAACATTCCAAAATGTCCAGGCACCGCACTGCAGCCCTCCTATCTGATATCTAATTGCTTACTGACGTCTTCATGTATCTTAACTTACTAGTAGTAGTATTGCTTTCTCTACATATTGATTTATGTACCCATGTTGGATTCTTCGCCGCAGCAGTGCAGAAGCGAAGTTAATGAAAACGCAGGAGTCGAGGTATGGCGCATATTTGCATATGTACCCATCTATTTATTTGTAACTTACTTACACAAACCTTTGCTTCTGTACATGTCTGTAGAATTGCATCTGTATTGCACTTGCCTCTGTATGTGCATTACACTGTGTAGGAACTTGCTTACGTTGATGTATGTGTCGTACATGTATGTACCGGCATACATGTTGATGACCGTGTGCATGCATGCATGCATGTATGTATGCATGCCTGTATGCATGAAGGTATGTTTGTATGAAGGTACGTGTGTATGTGTGTGCGCGAGCACATGTATGCATGCCTGTGGGGATGTATGCATGATTGATTCAAAAAGACCGGTTGATTGATTGATGGGGTGAGTGAGTGAGTGAGTGCACCGTGTGTGTGTGTTGTTTGTAATTGGCTGCTTATAATGTCTATGTACATATTGATACAGGGTGTGCATGCACATGTATATGTATCTGTGCAAATGTTTACATGTGTATGTGTATTTGTACGTATACATACAAAGGTTACAAGAGTGTGTGTGTGTGTGTGTGCCTGCGTCTATGCATACGTACGATGCTTGCATTAGACTATGTATGGCGTATGGGCATAAGGGTATAAATACAGAATATGCTTGCATAGCCTAAACACTCGCGATCCCTAAGGGTCCATGTACCCAAATAGTAGAACCTAAGCCCTAAAGTACCCAAATAGGGACTACATTAAGGCCAATGTTCTACTATTTGGGCACATGGACCCTTGGGGGATGTGCTGCCCAGCGGCACAAGCATGGATGAAGACTGCGCGACGAAAACCGGGAGTGCTCGGATCTGTCGTCGCTTGAGCTCCTTCTCTGTTAGGAAGGAACGACATATGGGTTTAGGGTTTAGGGTTTAGGGTTTAGGGTTTAGGGGGTTTCCGAAAATAAGGGACCCTAAAATAGTACCCTAAATAATAAGATCCTTATTATAAGGACACCAAAACAAGGTACCCTAGTTTTCTGAAGCCCCCATATGGATCAACCGTAAGGAAAAAAAGCAAGCCACAACGACGAAAGAGGATCCCGACTTAATAAGAGTGACCAAGGTTCGTGGTCTGTCTGGTGCACGCATGCTCTGTCCACCCACAGTGAGACGGGTCGGATACAATGCACAAGATGCTGACCAAAGAAGAACACGACAAAAAACACAAGCATGGGCAAGTACACAAGGATGGGTAGAAGCCTGAGCTGCGCAGTAATTACAGAGCCCAACGCAAGTCCTACTATAGGGGCCTTAACAACTAGAGCAGGGCTTTGTGGGTATATCATAGTATAGTTATGAAAAGGAACCAGTAGGATCATCATTAGTATCTATTCAGGCTTCTATATTGAATCTACAATTGAGCCTAGAACCTTAACACCCCAAATGGCCAGGGAGCAGGAGGTTGCCTCCAAGGTTTGCAGCCCCATGCGCGCAATGGATCATGGCCGTAGTGGCCAGCAGCCATGTGGTTGTGGAGCATATCCTAGGTCCCCCAGTAGCCCCTTAAGGATAAGGGTACCCTTTTTCCTACTATTGGGTTTTAATAGGGAGCGGGAACCCTAACTAACCCTAAACCCTAAACCCCTAAACCCCTAAACCCTAAACCCCTAAACCCTAAACCAAAAGGGTACTACTGGGGAACCTAGTATCAGAGCTGCCGTCAGGTTCAAGTAGACACACAGTGCAAGGTACTTCGCCCAACGGGAAGAACCCCACCGATGGCTCAGGAAGACCTGGAGCTAGCAAAGCTGAGACATATGGGTGGTTGTCAAAATTAGGGTCCCTTTTTGGGTCCTTATTATAATAGGGCACCTATTATTTAGGGTACCCCAAAAGGGACCATAATTTTGACAACTACCCATATCAAATGGAAAGCCACAGAAACCAAAGAAACCCTAAACCCTAAACCCCTTAAATCCTGAACCCCAAACCCTAAACCCCTTAAGCCCTAAACCCTAAACCCCTTAAATCCTGAACCCCAAACCCTAAACCCCTTAAGCCCTAAACCCTGAACGTTTAGGGTTTAGGGTTTAGGGCAGCATCGTACCGGGGCACATCTACCCGATCTGCACAACAACTCGATTCGAAGATGCGCGATCCTGCTTGGAGCACCTGCAGAAAGCAGGGACGAAGTCATAAGGGCAAGAGTCGGCAAGAGATCTGGTTTAGGGCTTCGGGGTTAGGGTTTAGGGGTGTAGGGGTTTTGGGTTTGGGGGTTCAGGGCTTCCTATGCTCTTGCAGTAAACTCTGCACCCGGAACCCTGATCATGCGAACTCGGGGGATCTCGGAACTCAGACCGCGCAGTGACCTGATATCGACGCATGTTAATTCTGAAAGAGCTTCAAGAACTAGAACTTCATATAGGATCTAGGTTTCGGGTCTGGGGTTTAGGCGTCAGGGGGGTAGGGTTTTAGGGCTTATGGCCTGATACACGGCTTCGGGTTTAGGGTTTAGGGTTTTGCTGAGCACCCTCTCAGAGTTGGGGTTTAAGCTTGAGGATTTACGGTTTACGGTTAAGAATTGAGGGTTTATGCTTTAGGGTTTGGGGTTAAGGGTTGAGGGTTTATGGTGAGGGTTTAGGGTCTAGGGTTTCGGGTTTAGGGTTGAGGGTTTATGGTTTAGGGTTTGGGGTTTAGGGTTGAGGGTTTAGGGTCTAGGGTTTGGGGTTTAGGGTTGAGGGTTTACGGTTTAGGGCTTGGGGTTTAGGGTTGAGGGTTTAGGTTTAGGGTTGGAGGTTTTAGGAGTTTGGGAAGCAAGGTGCATTGACGCCAGGCGTTTCGATTGCAATCTGCTGGATCGCAGGTCTACTCCCTTGGGTTGTGCAATTGATGCTTCTCTCGTCGCACAAACCCTAAACCCTAGGCCCAAACCCTAAACCGTACAAGGAAGTGTTGGCATCAGTATCAGTGTGACGTCTTCCGTGAATAAAGCCTCAACCCTAAGCCCCATATAAACCAACAACCCCTACACCCCTGATAATATAGGGGCCTTGATAATCAGAATGGGGATATGTTATCATGTACTCTATATATATATATATAATGAAAGACCGCCCAAAATAGTATTGGTATTTATTTAGGTCCCT